CGGCCCCTCAACTTCGAGCAGGACTTTAAGGCGACTTGAAGGCGACTCAACTTGATCCGCACCATCTCCCGCCCCCACCGGTCTAAAAATAGCGACACTCGTTTCCGGGTTGCAAGTGCCGTCATCGATAGTCGCCTACTGTACGGTCTTGAGAAGACGTGCATTTTCTGTGATAATCGACTGCCTTTGCCTCCGACATTTGCAGAACAAGCTATCATAATACAGTGCCAAACTAAAATGTCATATGACAGCCTATGTCATACGACACTGTCGCCGAATAACATTTCTGATCATAAATGGCTTGATTTACACCAAATAGAGGAATTAGAACGAAGTCACTCATGTCATATGAAAGTTATTTGATAATTTTCTTTTTGTTCGAATGTTATTCTACCGGTTGTGTTGTGTGCAGGGCGTCACAATATCAGCTTCAATCGACCAAATCGATGCGACGAAGAGACTGCTGGCTTTCTTTTTCTGTTAAAGTCGAACAGCTTCGCAGCATTCTAGAACCTCAGTCGGCGTGCACAAACAAATATTCAATCGCTTGTCTCTCTTTCTCCCGTCGCTCCATTGGTCTTCCTTTCAAGCTTCGTCGAAATGGATGAGCGAAAGAGCGCTCGACTTTGATAGTTTTCTCTTTCATGAAACACATCAACAGAGGTTTCATGACGTATATGACGGAAAATGAAATAACACATTTAAAGCATTTCTCACGTCAAAACACTTGAAGATTACACGTCATATTTCTAATTTATCTTCCATCCATATATTTATCTAAAAAAAATGATCGAAAACGGGACATAACGCATTTTAAACAAATTGAAAAAGCGGCGATAGAGTGTTCGTGAAAGGGGATTGAAAGCCATAATGAAGTTCGTTTAACTAGAAAATCGACGTTATTTACATTGAAAGCGATGAGCAAAGCAACGACGAGAAGTTCCACAGCCAGCCTTTCCTTCCAAGCGTCCTTCTTTTTTATTTTCGTTTCTTGCTGATAGTCTAGCTAGGCGTTATAGAAATGAAGCGTCGAACACGTATGTATGAGAGAAACAAAACACGAGTTCATTTTAGAGCTTCGAAATTGTAGAGCCCTGGTTGTGTGAGAGAGACGACGGTAGAGTACGACTTTACGAATACAAACAGACTGTCGTGCACGACAACAAAGCGAGTGTAGCAAAAACGTCAACTGTTTCAACCCCTGATCGCCACCGAAAAGCTTGTGCAGGTACTAGCACCAACTTTCAACACCTACGTTCGGATTGTCATCATCGTCATGCATCGAAGCGGGTATTCTGCCCTTCCGCCATCGTATAATCGCAGTAATTGCAACGGAAGCCGCTGCCTTTACAGCAATGTCCTCCGGAAATGACAGGATCTTTCTCCTCTATGAGGGGAACAGACTCCTCTCCGCATGACTGCCAATTCCGAGCTCCCCCCCCATTGGCCAAGGTCCACTAGTACGGAGACAAAAGTTGGCGCATACATCCACCAAAAATCGAGAGTCGGATAAAGAGCAGGTTCAAGGCTAGAGATAACTCTGCAGCGCTGAGGAGAACAGTAGCCGAACTGGTAGGTTCGAACTACCCAACCCATACCCAATGGAATTTGAGTACCCGGAATTTCAGCACCGATTAGTAGCAGCCTACCGCCACAATGCTCGGTTTTCTCCGCCAAAGCTGCGACCATCTTTGTTGTCGTTACAACACCCCCGAACCGGCCCATACTGGTGCTATCCGATTCGTACAGCGTGATACAAGCCCGACTCACCCCTGGATACAGGGTATCGTGGATGCCACACCCCGAACACGGTGTTCACCTGGATCCCTAAGCACTGTGGTATCCCAGGAAATATCGGCAGGGTCTGGACCAGCTAGCCCCCGTTACGCCGACAAAGTGCCACTACAGGACATTGAGCGATGGATAGTCAGCAAAAGGTGGGAGGCCTGGGAAGCAGAGTGGTGCCAATCCCAATCCCTCTTCATCCGAAGAATCAAAGGAACGACGAGCAAGTGGACTGATATGTCCAAACTACGGGACCAGAAGGTGGTTTCTCGTCTTAGGACAGGCCATACACTGATCTCACATAGTTTTGGTGGGACGCAGTTCCACAGAATGTGCTATCAACAATCAATTCGAAACTAACGATTTTAAATTGGCTCACTACTTGACTAGCCTATTGGTCCCAAGCAAATCGATTAACGTACCTCATTCTAGTATAAATTCCAGTACTATACTAAGTTTGTTTTGATTCGCTATGAAAGTTTGACAGATAAAATGAGGGGTTCGTGGATTTTCCTATGTTTCGAGGGGTGCATCGATTAGCTTGGGACCGAAGATAGTACCAGAGCTGAGCCAAAAAGTTGAGCTCGTTACTTCGGGACCTTCTGGTCTTAGAGTTACCTCTATGGTGCTACGTTTACGGAACTATGCCTGTGTCCGCAATACCGACATCTACGGGAGCAGTCCGAACTTCCCAACAGTATTAGGGACATACTTGTCGACGAACTTTCCACTTTAGCGACAGTTATTTATTTCCTCAAGGACGCTGGGCTATACTGCAACATTTAGGTCCTTTTAACTTTCTTTTGGCTGACGGGACATCTCTGCCGGACGGGGGATTACTCCTCCTACGGTGGAGTTCCGATCTCTTTCAGAACCCTACATAACTTTGATGTACCAGATTGCTTTTTTTTCGTTACCTGTATTGTTAGTCTTTTACTGGAATCTGTTTTAATTGTTTAAATTTGTAAGCCAACTCCATAACAAAATTTACAGACAGAACCCCCTCTGAGCCCCCTCTGGGCCCCCTATTTTATGAAGATGAACTAGCCAACGGCTAAAACTCTCTCTAATAAAGACAAAAAACATCAGAATGTATTCTGTCAATTCAGTGCTTGTTTATTGCGACTCAATACTGAAAAATAGTGATCGTACTACAATTCAAGGTAGAACTGGAATTAGGGCGTAGCAGCTTTTGTAAACAATGACTTCTTTCGATGGTGTCTTGAAAGTCAAGGCTCGCCCACGCAAATCAACATCACCATCCCCCGAGGCTTCCCCTACCCGACGGTAATGTTGGTTTGCGTGAGCGTGCCTTGAGTTCCTAGAAATCATCGAGAGAAGTCATTGTTTAGAAAAGCTGTTACGCCCTAATTCCACATCTATCTTGAATAATTTTAATTTGTAAATTTTGCACGTCATTTAATTTAGATTTTTATGTTGTTAGTTAAGTTAGCTAAGGATAAAATTATCGTTTCATGTTGGGTTCTGTTTCTCCTCCCGCTGCAAAAGAAGGCGAGAACATAATCAACAGGACAGTCGAGCGCGGTTGCAGGAGCGATGGCGCTTTTGTTCTAAGGATTGGGACGTTGTGAACCAGACCAGGGAGAACAATTCGAGCCACGGTGGAGTACTGGCGTTCTTCTGCTCGGAGACGTGACGTTTTTTAGTCCAGAGAAAGTGACTCCAACTCGGAGAAGAATTCCCAATCACGTCGCGAGTGCAAGTACGCATGTTTCCAGTGCACCGCGAGTGAAAGCCGGCCCCGTGGCTGCGAAAATCACTGTGCTGATAGTGTAGTGAAAAGGGTGCTGGATCGCCATTGTGGGAAGCCGATCTATTCGTTTTCCTGGCTAACCGTTAAGGATCCATCTGACACCTGCCGTCCTTCCTGACTGCGGTGGCTCCGCCAATAAAGCCAGTCTCGCCACCGCAGCTAATCGTCAAGTAGGACGAAGTAGGCGATACCAGAGGTGATTTCGCCTGGGCAGAAACACTGAGGTGTCTGCCAGGATTGCCTACGGCGTCACCAACGTCACCGGGGGGTTGGAGGGGAGGCGTTTCCAACAGACGAGCCCCGCTCATCCTCCCCGCTAAGTGTCAAGGACAGCAAACCGCTCAGCACAGTCCGTACTTTGAAGCAGCAGAACCCCCGTCGTCGAAGGTCCCCACCGAACAGCAGCAGCAATAGCGAGGAGGAGGACACAGATAAGTAGATAATAGACGTCTAAAATTGATTCCTTCTTGTTGTTTTGTTGTTTCACCCAAATCCGAACGGCTTTGGGGGAAGGCTGCTCGTGGACGCCCCACAGGGGTAAAATCTGGCCAGCTATAGGCTGGCAGGTAAACCGTAACTTACCTTTTTTATCAGTGTTCCTCAAGTGTGCCACGCTGTGCTGGCAGTGCTTGTGAATAATTACATATTTGGCAACCCGGTATTTGGACAGCTCGTTTGTTTTGTTTTGCTTGCTGAAACCAAAAATAAAATAAACTCCATCGAAATTGTATAAACCGATACACGGACCTGCTGAAAGATGAATGCTCCCGAACGCAAGATGTCCAAATCGCTAAGATTGTATTCGATCCGATGAATGCGATTACCGGCATCTCGCTGATGGACCTGCACCTGCAGCTAAACAGGATTCCAACCCGAGTGCCCGGTGTCGAGAGGGATCGAGGAAGCCAAAGCCGGTCAGAAGCAAGACTCCCCATATGGTATTCTAATGAAAAAAAAAACATATCCGAACAATAACCCAAATGATAGAACTATTCCACAAATGGTTTGGATGGTACTCTGAACACGTCGTTCAGCAAAATAACCATCCAAATTTGATAAGGGGTAACAGCAGCTGAGGCAGCAACATTTTGCAAAAACTCCCGAGCACTTTCCATCTTGTCACTACACCCAACCGGTGGATGTAAGATTCGCTTACAATTATGTGGGATTCATCATCAGAGGATGTAAGTGGAGACCGCATGAACCGAGGATGCGATATACCTAGCTGCGGTCCGATGTAAGAAAATTGGAGACCAAAAAAATGAGGAGTGTATTAGTGAGTGAAATTAATAATGTCGAAAAAAATAGAAAAAAGGTTGCCGACTGGACTCGAACCACAGACGTTGCGACTATCAGACCTGTGCTTTCTCCATTGCTCTCTCCATGCTTCTGAACTTAGTCAGCCTAAAAGCAAACATGAAGCGCTCATTTTCTCGCATGCTCGACTTCGTATGCTTTTTCTGCTGGAGAGATTCGAGACAAGTGTGTGCGTCGTTCTACAATGTTCTACAATGTGCGTCGTTCTACAAGCTTACTGGTATAGTCGAAAGCGTAGATGGAACACGAAATAAAAAAGACAAAAAACCATTACATCGCCTGCATGGTCAATTTCTAACATTCGTTGCGATGTTCATGAACAGAGGATGATAGGAAACGGAACTAACATTCATTGTAATAGATTTTTGGTTTGCGTGTACATATTCCGAAAATATCAGGAAAATGACGGGCTCATCAGGAAAAAGGGCAGAACATTAAGAACGTTCCGAGAATGTCTTGGAAATTAAGGAAACTTCAGGAAAGCACCAACAAACTTCAGGTCTTAGGTCTTGTTGTCTTAGAACCCATCAAACTGAGTAACTGCATAAGTCTGCGACTTTCTCAGAACTTGCTTCCAACTTCCTCCAGAAGAGTTTCTTTCTTCCTTATCTGGAAGTTTTTTCGGCTTATTTCAGAAGCTGATTCAAACATTCGCCGGAAATGTCTTCCGAGGACGTTCCCAGTGCAAAAGTTTAAATTTTCTCCTACGAAAAATAATATACCGCAAAAATTTAAAATTCTTAAAAATAGTAAATACCGATTTTTTTTTAAATCTTTGATAGCGATAAGCCTGAAAACAATCTGGCAATGCATGTGTCGATTTCGAGTTATGATTTGTTGAAAAATAGTGAATACGCCGTTTTGATGTTTTGTGCCTGATTAAAATGGGCCGGAATCATACTGGCGACATCGCTCTGATGAGACAACGAAACCCTACCCCCAAGCTCCTCCCCTTTTCCTATTCTTCGACAATGTACCCCTCTGACCTTGGGTAAGCCGCGAGTATTCAGCCCAACTCCTACTAGACATAGAATTAAGTGAATTTCATTAAAAACAAAGAACAATGCAGTATCGGCTCCGTAAAGCTACCGCGATTGAGCCTTACAAATAAACGAACTAGATACAAAAAATTTGGCCGGATTTTAGATCAAATAACAAACAATATGCGTAGTATGCGTTTTGTTTAAGTATGCGTGCGCGAGATGCCAGATACTCCTAACCGACGATCAAATGCATTGTATTCAAAAGCTGATATCTCGCGTAATATTTGAAAAGGGCATATCCTGGTTGATCTATTCTCTTCATCGACTTTCTAGTTGGTTTACCATGGCTACATAAACGAATTCAAGCTGAACATTGCATTAGGTCCTAAGTAACATGGACAGATTCTCTTCGTCGACTTTCTCATTGTATCTCAACGGCCATTTTAAAACATTCCCAGGTATTTTCAGCACATATATCGATAACAGAAGCTTTCATCTAGCATCTAATACGACAAACACAACAAGAAACGGTCATGTGCTCAAGTTAGAAAGAGCAAATCGGCGAAGAGAATCGATCAATGTTACTTAGGACCTAATGCAATGTTCAGCTTGAGTTCGACAGAAGATTATGTTAGCTTACGCCTGAAACAACACACTGTAGGTTTCTTATGGCTTGTTTACGTTTGGAACCAGTTATGCGAGGTAGGCGACGATTGTTCGTATTTGACAGTCAACACCCCCCCCCCCCCCTTGGGTTATTCGCGAAAGAGATAATCGATGAAGAGGATCGATCAACAATGATAGGCCCTTTTTCCGTGTTGCGCGAGATAGGCATTTTTCTCGTGTTGCTCGAGATAATATAATACAGGGGTTACTCAAAATAACTAGGATAGGCAAATTTGACTGGAAAACTAATATTGTTTTACGGTGTAGCCACGAAAATAATCCTGGTCACCGGATACCGGAGATATTCCGGGTTTCCGGAGGGCTTGTCTAACTTGCTAAATTTTTGGTAAAATTTTATATATGATGCTGCTTAAATATATATATTTTTAGTAAATACAACGAAAGAAGAACCATTTCTAAAGTGAATCATATGCCAAGAACTAAAATCGGCCTATAATCAACCGAGATATGGCCATTTCCCTGGAATCGGTTCTGGTGGAGGGTTCTGAATGCGGACAGATCATTTAATCACTCAAAACATGCCGTGCGACAGCTTTTTCTTCATGGTTTCTCGTCAATAGACTTTCGATAAACTTTAAATGCGTCATTGGCCACATTGGCCACTCTCGGAACATCCAGTATGCCTCCGGGGGAACCTGGAGCAGGGGACAATTGCATTTTTACACCAAAACATGCCGTGCGGCAGCTCATTCTTCATGGTTTTTCAAGAATAGGCTTTCCATAAACTTCAAATGAATCATTGACCACATTGGCCGCTCTTGGAATCATGGGATACCCCCGAGGGATCCTGTAGCAGGGGTCAATTGCGTTTTTACACCAATACATGCCGTGCAACAGCTTTTTCTGCAAGTTTTTTCATGAATAGGCTTTTGATAGACTTTAATTGGATTAATGTCCACATTGGCTGCTCTCGGGACCTCCGGCATGCCCCCCGGGGGAACCTGGAACAGAGGACAATTGCATTTTTACACCAAACATGCCGTGTGACAGCTCTTTCTTCATGGTTTTTCATGAATAGGCATTCATTAACTTCAAATGGATCAGTGTCCACATCGGCAGCTCTCGGAATCACGGAATACCCCCGGGGGAACCTGTAGTAGGGGGCAATTGCGTTTTTACTCAAAAACATGCCGTGCGACAGCTCTTTCTTCATAGATTTTCATGAATATTCTTTCTATAGACTTCAAGTGAATCATTTACCACATTGGTCGCTCTCGGAACCACTGGGATGTCCCGAGAGAACCTGTAGCAGGGGACAATTTCGTTTTAACTCAAAAACGTGCCGTGCGACAGCTCTTTCTTCATGGATTTTCATGAATATTCTGTCTATAGAATTAAACTGAATAATTTACCACATTGGTCACTCTCAGGACCTCCGGTATGCCCCCGGGGGAACCTGTAGCAGAGGACAATTGCATTTTTACACCAAAACATGCCGTGCGATAGCTCTTTCTTCATAGATTTTCATGAATATTCTTTCTATAGACTTAAAGTGAATCATTGACCACATTGGCCACTCTCGGAACCACTGGATACCCCCGGGGGAACCTGTAGCAGGGGACAATTGCGTTTTTACTCGAAAACATGCCGTGCGACAGCTCTTTCTTCATGGATTTTCATGAATATGCTTTCTATAGAATTGAAGTGGATCATTGACCACATTGACCTTTCCTGGGATGACCACATTGACTGGAATGCCCTGGGGGGAACCTGTAGTAGGGAATAGTAGAATCCAAGAGAAATTTATGCATCACTAGTGGCTGGAAATAGTACCAGTCGATGGTGATAAATGGATCATTTTAGATGGCTGAGTTTTGAACCCACCACAGTTTTCATTTGGCGCTACTGTATACGGACGAACCAATGTAAAATACTGTGGTAGCCACAGTACGGTGCTGTCAAAACCTCAGCATCTTCAATGATCCATTTATGACAGCTGGTTCAAATTCCAGAGTTTGAATGATAAATTATTGAAAAAAAAAAGTTCAAATAGTGAGAAACGATCATTTTTATCAATGATACATGCAGGAAATTCGTCGAATAATGCAATATTATGTAAATTTTCATTGCACTGCGATTGAAAGTTAATGAAAATGCGTTTTTTGATGCACCGATATTATTTAGGTTATGTTGTGTGTGACTGCAGATTCCCATCCCGAAATTGACGTCCATGTCTGCTGGATATACTGGATTATGTTGGGACTCCATGCGACCTATACGGGAAGGACTAGCGGTTTTAGAGACCGAGCATATTGTGTGCCTGGGCTACACCAGTAGAATGGGTTTGTGCTGCAAAATTCCCATCCCGGGGAGCGGCCACTTGAAATTAATCTCAAATTACCCCACGACAAAAAACTTTGCAACTTATTTTATACTTATTCGCTCTGTCCCTGTAAACAGTGGTAACCTTTCTCCACTAAGCGAATTTGTTGCTCCCCGACTTCGAAACCCGAAAAAGTTGAAATTTGTTCTCGTTGCATCCCGGGATAATGCAACGATCTTGCAACAGCAATGAAAATGTTAAGCGGTGGAGCTTAACGTTTAAAAAAAATCAACTATTTTCCTGATTTCAACCAGTGATATCATTGAAGTCATTTGCCATTTTGAAGAAGGCTTCTTTTTCTACAATTTTACAAGCTTTTTGATAACTAAAAACGTACAAAACAAGGCAAATATCCAATTTAAAAACCGAAAATTCTTGTATGAGTCACGTTTGACAGATGTTTTACATTTTTATCACCGCTACGACAATAGCGCCACTGGTGGCCGGTGGTTGGAATGGATCAATGAAGATGCTGAGGTTTTGACAGAACTGTGCTGTGGCTACCACAGTATTTCACATTTCAGTGCCAACATTTCAAATGGGCGTAATTGCATTTGTAAACAATAGCTTTAGCCGTCGATTTCTCGCGAATGCTGTGGTGGGTTCAAAACTTGACCATCTAAATTGGTCAAGTTTCCATTACTAAGCACAGTTTCATGCAAGCCGGAGAAGGTCGAATGTGAATAGTTTTTGTTTTGCGTTCAATCTTTCGGGGATTCCCTGAAGTATTTCGCTTTCCACTTACACAAGCGAAACGAACTACTAAGCCTCGTGAAAGATGTCTTCTCCTCAGTCCTCAAAATAATAAAAAAAAACCTGTTTAAGTTGGTGCTAAATTTCGATTTCGACTGACTGGCGCAACAGTTCGAACTTAACCATTGAAAGGCGTGCGTGTGGAATCAACTTCTAACCGTCGAATGGCGGCTGTCCTGCCACCGCCCTCCGTTGGCCGCTTCAAGATGGTCATGCTGGGTGATGCATCCGTCGGTAAGACGACCCTTGCGATGCGGTTCAGTGGTCTGCATCAAAGTGAAAAAAAGATTGCCACTGCCTCGGTGGCAAATTTCGAGAAGCTTTTTATCACCAGCAATGGAGCGGCAATCAAGTTGGACATTTGGGACACGGCCGGGAATGAGCGATTTCGTGCAATTACGCCCATGTACCTGAGGGGGGCTCGGGCGGCAATCGTTTTGTACGACATCCTGAGCCGGGAGTCGTTCGAGCAGGCCAAAAATGTGTGGATCGAAGAAGTGCGGAGATCACAGGAGGAAGGAATGGTGGTTGCGTTTGTTGGCAATAAGCTGGATAAGAAACGGTACCGGAAGGTTGGACGGGAGGAGGCCGAACAGTATGCCGCGAGCGAAGGATTTATGTTTTTTGAAGCATCGGCTCGGACGGCGGAAAATGTGGAGGCAGTGTTCCATGCGGTGGCAGAAGAGTTGGGGACGAGGAAATACGATGACTCGATAGAGAAGCCGAACATTCGACTTGGTGGCACGAGGACTTACGGGGGATGGATGACGTGCTGCTGAGATTTGTGTTAGTTTCCCAGTGCAGAATCTTAAAGGGTTGATCGCGTTTATATTCTTTATACTATTTATATGCTGTCTGAGGCTACGGCTATCAGTTTTAGTTAAATAGCAGAAACATTCTTATACATATTACAGTTTTCGTGCTGTAATGAGATTCTCGGCATTTAAAATTAAAACATTAAATAAATCCAAAATAGGAGCGTAGCCAAAACATTCACCAATTGAGTACATTGTACGGTTAGTAGTGTGATGCAGAATACTTATTTACTCTATTCGATAGATAACAACCCAACTAACAATTTCAGCTGCAGATTAGCTTATACAGCTAAAAATTGGCTTATACAGCTAATTTTTGCCTGCATAAGCTAGTCTGCAGCTAAAATTGTTTGTTGGGAACCTGACTGCATTTCATTTGCACGGAGTGTCCCGTCACCAGTGACAGAGAATCACTTTGATTCTCGGATCAAGCCCCATTGTCAAAAGAAGTCCCGTCAGAAGCATAGGGGAACTTTAATTAAGGCCTGTGTTCCATTTGGGCAATTTTCACTTTTTTTTTTTTTTTCCTTTGATTTGTTTTCCGTCGATCTTGTTTTCCGTGCTGAGCACCAATGCTACCGACGCCAGGGAGGCAGTTCCCACACCTGGACCCTACCTATCGATCCATCAACTCATGAACCGGGGACCAACGGCTTTACTTCCCATCCGAAGGAAGGCGTGATCAGAGATGTTATGCCTCAGAACATCCCGGCGGCGCCGACTGGGATTGAACCCATGCCTGCTGGGGTGAGAGGTAATCACGCTTACCACTACACCACCGGCGCCGCTAATTTTCACTTAAATTAGACAGATGGAAATTTTTCAAATACACCTGCTATTGTAACAAACTTATTTCTAACCGACCAGGATTCAATTTTGACAAACACCTTCTCGAAAATCACAGCCTAAATACTCTCTATTTAAGATCCTTTTTTTGATACTATCCTTGTCAAATTGAAATGATGAATATTAAAAATATATTCAACCAAAGTGTGTTGTTATTTCGTACGTGAAGTTAACGATTTTCAGAGTTGGGAGAAAATGCTGTACTAATATCAACATGAAGCTTTAGTGCGATCATGGCTTGCTACTCCGCGACTGTCATTTTTGTTTGAGACGTCATCAGAATCTCTGAAATAAACAAACAGTTTTCTTCAACGTTCGAAATTGACAATTTTCCAAGGGGTAGGTCACGCCGCGCACCAATCTTGAGTCATCTTTTTTGTCAGTGTGCCGCAAGTGTGCCGGTCATATAGCAAGCTGCGATTGATTGTAAAGGGTGATACGGTCAAAATTTGGTCAAGGGAAAACGCGTGTAAATCGGTGAAATCGTTTATTTAAAAAATCATATTAAATTTCTTTTTCAAGTTCAATTAGTATAAAATTCAGGAAAAATATTCAGTTAGGCTTCCGCTTTTCCAAATCCGAATTGCTGGGCCTTACGCTTGACCCCTGCCATCAGATTTTGTACAGCCACCTTGTCCACCTTCTTCGCCGCAGAAAGCCAGTTTGCCTTGAACTGCTGCTCGCCCTTAGCAGTTTTTGGTCTTCTTTAGGTTCCGCTTGACAATAGCCCAGTATTTCTCAATTGGGCGGAGCTCTGGCGTGTTGGGAGGGTTCTTGTCCTTGGGAACCACCTGCACGTTGTTGGCGGCGTACCACTCCATGGCCTTTTTACCGTAATGGCAAGATGCCAAATCCGGCCAAAACAGTACGGAACAACCGTGTTTCTTCAGGAAAGGCAGCAGACGTTTATTCAAACACTCTTTCACGTAAATTTCTTGGTTGACAGTCCCGGAAGCTATGAAAATGCTGCTTTTCAAGCCACAGGTACAGATGGCTTGCCAAACCAGATATTTCTTTGCGAACTTTGACAGTTTCATGTGCTTGAAAACATCTGCTACCTTTCCCCTTCCTTTTGCCGTATAAAACTCCTGTCCCGGAAGCTGCTTGTAGTCGGCTTTGACGTAGGTTTCGTCGTCCATTACCACGCAGTCAAACTTCGTCAGCATCGTCGTGTACAGCCTCCGGGATCGCGCTTTGGCCGTCGTATTTTGTTTATCATCGCGATTTGGAGTCACTACCTTCTTGTAAGTCGATAGTCCGGCTCGTTTTTTGGCTCGATGCACGGTTGTAGACGATACACCCAGCTTATTTGCGGCATCTCGGAGAGAGAGGTTAGGGTTTCGCTTGAAACTACCGGCAACTCTCTTTGTCGTCTCAGCGGCTTCCGGTTTTCGATTTCCCCCCGATCCAGACTTCCTGGCTGTCGACAAACGTTCCCCAAACACTTTAATTACATTTGTAACGGTTGATTTGGCAACTTTTAGCGATTTTGCCAACTTTGCGTGCGAGTAGCTCGGATTTTCGCGATGCGCGAGCAAAATTTTGATACGCTGCTCTTCTTGCTTGGACGGCATTTTGACAACTGAAGAGTGAATTCTAAAATCAAAATAGAAGCAACATTCTTCACACACACACCTTCAAAATGAGGGGTGTTCAGGTTTTTTAAATGCAAAATTGAAAGAAATACGTCAAGTTGATATTGACCAAATTTTGACCGTATCACCCTTTAAAATATCCATCACGGCAACCCGGTTTTTCTTGTTAGAATGGAGCGACGGTCTACCCTCACATTGGCAGCACTGGTGCGCCTCTCTAACGTGCGAGCCTCTATTAGAGAAAAACACACTGTTTACTTTTTTTTCTGAACATTGATAAACTTGTAATCGAGATCGCATGCGTTCTTTATTGTTCTCCGGTGATACTTCCGAATTCCTCTCGTATTTTCCCCAACTACGTTTGTCCACTTCGTTAACCTGTCCCCAGAGTCTCACATTTTTGACATCTTGAATGTTTTGGTTTTGAAATCGCAAGAATAAATCGGATTGAGGTTGTCTAAATTTTGGTGTTTTGTGTTCATAGGATAACAAAAGTCCTGTGTTTTAGGGTTTTATAATGCCCTCAAAGACAGACTAGAAACCTAGCCTTTCGTGATGTGAAAGCAACGGTCTATCAGCGGTCGGAAAGAGTTGGGACCGGTAGGGAACATTGTTGGAGACTGCCCTGATAAAAAATAACCATAAACGAACGATAACCCAAATCATTGAACTATTCCACAAATGGTTTGGATGATACCCAGAACACGTCGTTAAGCAAATTAACCATACAATTTTTATTAGGGTGACTATAAAGGATGATTAATAGACTTCTGTAGTTTGTTTTGTGTGAGTTGCAGCATCATTTGAATTAAGGGTACTGATGGGGTCTGATTAACTGTCTCTTTCTCTTGAGCCCACTCTAGACCTACGTTTCTTATTTAGATCTATAAGTGAACTGCTGGTCTGAGTTCCTCTGGTATATTCTATTAGAGTATGTTCCTGAATATACAGTCAAACAGCACGTAATGTTGTCAACAACTTAAATGACAGTTGTCTAGCAGAGCTTCCATTTTATTTACAACAATCGAATGACTTACCCCTTGCAATTTTCAAACTTCTGCAATGAAAATTATCGATTGGCGAGGTAATACCAAAGAAGAATACTAAGATGAAACAGTCGGAGGAAAAACTTTCTATTTTAGTATACTCTTTCACGTTCCCTTTCAGAGATCGCAGTAGACCACGCTTGAAAACTGACGTGTTGTTCTTTTGCTCCGTATTTTTCGTCAGCAAATTAAATATGCTTTGCTTTAGATTTGTAAATTTGTGTGCTGAAATTTAGTTTCAAGTGTTCATACAGTTATCATTTAATGATATATCGTGTTTTGCCTGTGTTTGTCTTGAGTGACTCGGTTGACCTTCAATCCAACCTACAAAATCTCCAACGAACACTTGTGATTAGGTTCCGGAACCGATTCCGGAAATATGGTGGATGATACTGTTCCTATCCTATCAGCAAGGTTGCTTATAGTGTACCGTCGATTAAAGGAAGATAACAGTTTGGTGGTCGACTGGTATAGCAGTTTGGAACTGGTCCTGATATGATCATGTGCTTTCTTCTGACTATGTCTGTTATTGACAGAACCGTTAAGAAGAAAGTGTCGGCTAAGCATCGCACCACCTGTGTCTCCGTGTCACCATTTCACTGTGATTATTCACGTTTTAGTCTGCAATCGACCGTTAAGCATGTCGGTGTCGTCGGCCATGTGGGTTTTACCACTACTGTTGTATAAAGAGTCTGAATACGCGATCATATGGTGTCGATTTAAAAATAATTATGAATTTTTTTGTAACAGTTTGGTTACAATTAATATCAAACAAAAACTGTTGTTAGTAACATGGGAAAACAATAATAAATAATATTTCATCCCAAAATGTCTGCGTTAAAAATAAGCCTGCCAAATGCATGAATTTGAAATTTGTAAGCATCGGTAACTGGAAATTCCTAACTAAAAAACCTTCTCTAAACAATGGTGTTTGTCGTCGAACCATGGTGCACTTATGAGGAATATTGTGCTTGATAATTTCTAACTGCAACTGCATTAAACTGCTGCATTTAATTTCCAGTACAAATCATATAAATATTGTGACAGCCGTGGTTATTTCAGTCGAGGGCCAGCCAAGCAAAATGTCTTCCAGTAAGTACTCTTAGGTTGCGACTTGAATACTTATTTTTCGCGTCACCTTTCAAATAGACCAATCTAGATTGATCGATTCTCGTCATCGACTGTCTTTCGTTAATAACTCGGCTTCAAAAACATGATCAGCTGTTCTTATCCTCCAAAATGCTTAATATTATTTTTTTTTAAACAGACTATGTTCGTAGAAACATAGATAATCGAACAAGGTGGATTGCTATATTTTAAAAGTGATGCAAGATTTATAATCTGAAAATGGAATGGAACAATTCGACAGTGAGCATGCATAAGAGCGAAGACAACAAATCAAGAAGACTGGCAACTCTTCCATTTTCTCATACGAACGCTATGAGATAGGTACAATCGCGTCATCTGCCGCTCAAAG